GCGTCGGTTGTCGGTTAGGAAAAATAACCGAAATGAACATCCCTATTTAGTACGAATGCAAATCAGTATACATTTCCAATATTGACCATCATACTTTATCATTCATCAGTCATTACATTTAAATATTCAATGTTATCTGCATTGACCAAAATGTATGCCGTTACATTCTTAGTACAAACAATTATGGTGTTTTCAGAATCCTGCATGCTATTAATCCAGTGGATGGCTGTTAATGTTGCTTACATTCAACACTCTCCAATATTTCATTCACCCTAAAACAGTTACAGAAAAGGAGTGTGAAAATGACTAATGCTAGAACTGTTTAACCTACAGCAGCTTGATGGAATATGGACAATAGCACCCCGGGTCTGCTTTCATTAATTCATTCAAAGGGCTTTTTCCTCAACTTGTGTGTCCATCTACAAGAGCCAATGCTGCAAGAGTCACCATATCTGCTTTACCAGGATACAGAGAGAGAGAGAAAGAGAGCTCAACCAGCATGGAACTTCTGCTTGGAGCGAGGGAGGGTACGGCAGGGGACTGTGTCGATTGGATGGAGAATTGGTGTATGTGTGTGAGAGCGAGCAAGAGGGAGGGAGAGAAAAAGAGAAAGTGGCAATAGAGAGTGGTGGGTTTGCTCTTTGGGAAAGGAGCCAATCCAATTACAGGCAGCAGTGCAAGCCCGGTTTCTTCAGCTGAGCTAAATTTCACATTTCATCAGTCTCTTCCCTTCTCTTGCTGCTGCTGTGCTACGCGTTCTCTTTCTTTCTCTCGTTCCCTCCCCCTCTTGTTGCAGGTGGAGGGCAGGAATAGGCAGATCATGCAACCGACTCCATTCTTCAAAGGATGAGGCGCAACCACTCACCCCTGTACAACAGTATATTGCCTATAGAGCATCAAACTCCTGTAACATCAACATGGCTGCAACTAGGGCTAGGTCTAGGGTTGGGCCGATAGACGATGCCATCGTCCATCGCTGACGGCTGATAGACATCACGATGTTGAGCCGGCATCGCCATCCCCATACGCCC